AGTAGAATTTATCTTACCCGACTCGATTTTAATTAAGGAGTGATTATCTCCTTAATTACCGTGACTTATTCCCCACGAAAGAGGAATATTCTGGGGGGGGGGGCTCAGCTCCTATAAATAGTCGACCCCTCAGACCCTCTAAACACACCACAAACGAGCAGATTCATAATAGAGAGAGCGTTCAGAGAGCTCCGGTTTTCGCACAAAACCGCCGAGCATACGAGAGGAGTTATTTTATCCTGGAGACGACCGGTTGATAGTCTGTCGTGCGCATCGAGGACAGTGCCGCGAAAGTCTTAAAGAGAGCGACTCAGCTCTAGATTCGGTAACCTCATTCTTGGCTGTTGTGTCGTTTCTAACAATAACTCCATCCTTCTGTCCTGGAAAGCTACTGTGGCCCCAACAACATTTGTCTTTTGACTAGTAGTTTCCCCTGTCTCCATCAAACTTAATAGTCCACGAACGACCCTCCCCCTTTGCATTAGTGAACTGTTCCCACTTGGAATTGCAACTGAGTAAAATCATTATAGCTGCAGAGGTACCTTTCGCAAATGGGGTTGATGTTTCATCCTTCAAAACTCTAATGAGGGAACTCATTCGACCTTGGGCCAGAAATTCTCTTGCGCCATTGGCATCCTTTGCCAAACTCTTAAGAGCGGTGATGGCATTTTGCTCTTGAGCCACACACGATGGAGCACTTCAGATTCTGCAGATGGATTTTATTAATTTTCTATTAATTAATTATTAATCGATTATTCTTTATCCTAGATAAATACGAGTTGGAAGAGGATAATCGATTAAAAAGGAATATTCGAAGGATAATCCATCATGATTTATCTTACCCGACTCGATTTTAATTAATGAGTGATTATCTCCTTAATTACAGTGACTTATTCCCCACGAAAGAGAAATATTCTGGGGGCTCGACTCCTATACATAGACGACCCCTTAGATCCTCTGAACACACCACAAACGAGCAGAAACACAATAGAGAGAGTGTTCATAGAGCTCCAGTTTTCGCACAAAACCGCCGAACATACGAGAGGAGCTGTTTTATCCTGGAGACGACCGGTTGATAGTCTGCCGTGCGCATCAAGCGTACTGCAGCGAACGTCTTAAAGAGAGCAACCTAGTTCACGACTCAGCTCCAGATTCGGTATCCTCGTTCTTGGTTGTTGTTCCGTTTCTAACAATAACTCCATCCTCCAGTCTTAGAAAGCTACTATGGCCCCAAATGCATTTGTCTTTTGACTTGCAGTTTCCCATGTCTCCTGCAAACTTAATAGGCTAGGAACGACTTCCTCCCCCTTAGCATTAGCGAACTGTTCCCACTTGGGATTGCAATTGAGCAGAATCATCATAAGTGCAGCGGTACCTTTCGCAAATGGGGTTGATGCTTCATCCTTTAAAACTCTAATGAGGGAACTCATTCGACATTGGGCCAAAATTTCTCTTGCGCCATTGCCATCCTTTGCCAAACTCTTAAGCGCGGTGATGGCATTCGATAATGGGTTTTATTAATTATCTATAAATTAATTATTAATCGATTATTCTTTATCCTAGATAAATACGAGTTGGAAGAGGATAATCGATTAAAAAGAATTATTCGAAGGATAATCCAGTAAGATTTATCTTACCCGACTAGGTTTTTTAATTAAGGAGTGATTATCTTCTTAATTACCGTGACTTATTCCCCACGAAAGAGGATTATTATGGGGGACTCGGCTCCTATAAATAGCCGACCCCTCAGACCCTCGAAACACACCACATCGAGCAGAAACACAATTGAGAGAGTGTTCATAGAGGTCCGATTTTTGCACAAAACCGCTGAGTATACGAGAGCAACTGTTTTATCCTAGAGACGACCGGTTGATAGTCTGCGGACAAGAGGAAAAAATGCCATGGACGAGAGGAAAAAACTGAACCCCGAAAATGTCATGTGCTACCTTCAGAAAGTTTATGGTGTTTTGGGGGCGTAGATCTGATGGGTGGGATGTCTTTGGACACAAGTATGAATATGAATTAAGGAACTGGAACTGGATAAAGACTTTTATATATATGTATGTATCGCGAGTTGTCGGTATGTGGTAACAATGTATGGTTTTGCCTCCTGATTTCGCTTCTTTTATAACTAAATACTTTTGTCCTTGTTGATCAACCATTGTGAACGTGTCTCAACTTATGGCACAGAACTGAGATATTGAAGAGGCATCTACCTTCTGGTCATGAGGGGCAGAAACTGAAGAACATTGACATACGATTTGAGGAAAATATGTATAATGCTTCAACTAGCCAGGTATCTCTCTAAAAGCTAGTGATGCTTGCAGAATATTTCATGATGTCGAATGAATACAGAAGGAACTTTAGTGCCTATCACTATATTTCCAATACAATATCAAGGATGCACTAATTCTATGTCAAACGTTTATTTTGTTGATGTAGTATGATTATTTGAGTAAAGTAGCTTCGAAATGGCCTACATGGAGAGCAAATTGCAGAATGATGGACCATCACTTCCTACTCCATTGCTTGCTAATCAAGTTCAAGGATCCGTACAGTTGCTATGTCAGAATACACAGATAAATCCATAAAGGTATGACTTCTATAGGTGTTCAAAGTTTTGCTAGTTTGGCGTCTTCATTGCCTCCTGTTTATGATGTGAATCGAACTCCAACCAATGTTGTTGGCCGAATACTAACATCTAGAGTAACATATCTGATGTTGCACAGTTGGGTCCTTAAAAGTAAGTTCTTAGGTCTACAACAGCGAACACAGCAGTAGCTTTTTAGAACTCTTGTAGCTACTCAAGCATGCAGAACTATAATCAACACTCATTAACATGCTAAACAGCAGAGGGAAATGCATCAAATCATGGAAGCCTCAGAACAAGCTCTCTGGTTCAACCGCAATACGCGATTGATCAGCAAAATCAGTTATGTCCAACACAAAGATAGTTTCTGGAGATGTTCATTTACACTATCAAAAGAGCAAATCTAACAACCAGTTGTCACTTGTCAGTCCGTAGTGGTCTAGCATAAATATCTTAAGGATGGGTATAAGATCCATACATATCGTTGCATTTACTTTTCCTTACTAATGTTGGTTTCGTCGTTGTAATATCTCTAGATTCGACGGGTCAAACTGGTATGTGGTATCGCAAGAGGGAGGCGATTGGGAAGAGGAAGCATGTCAGAAGGTACACAATACTTGTTTTCCCTTTCTGCTTATATAACAGTTTGGCCGAAAAACAAATTTCTTTCTTGCGTTTCCTTTACAGGACAATACCCTGGAGTTGCAATAACCCGGGTCGAGTTACTGGAACTGGGCCAGAAAATTGGTACAAATTCCGAGCAGGTACCTTGCTACTAGTCCCCCCATTTGTTAACCAATCCTTTGGTCTGATCTGCACATCCCAAGTATTTATAGCGCCTGTAGAGCCTAAGCAATGAGGATATGGTTTGCATTAAGCCTTAGGCATGGAATTTGCATATACGACCATTCTTTTGATTTTAGTTGGGGATCTGTTATCGATTTCTGCCAAGGGGTAATGCAAATTCTTGAAGGGCTGATAATTTGATCTTTTTTGCCCCACTATGATTCACTCCCGCCGAAGTCGGGGACTTGAGAAGTTGAAGATGTCCAAGGCTATGATGGGAGGCAAGGTGATTTTGGAACGAGAATCTTTGATCAACAACTGACGGAGCTGTGTAAGGACTTAGGAGTGCTTTCTACACCCTTAACTTGGGATGAAATTTTTTCCAATAGAGTTAAGTTAATGAGGATTTGAACCTCTAATCCACTCAATCCACATATTTACATTTATTTGCAAGTGTTATCCATCCTAAACTTAAAACATCCCAATAATACAACTTATGGAATTTCTCTGTCATAAGTTGAACTCATTGTGATCTACCGCTTGGTCAAATACGATTACACGGGTCAATGAGTTCGGAAAAAAAAAAGCTGGAAACAAATAAACACAAATTGTTTTCATATGTTTATTTGATTATCAACGGAACCGAATAAACGATGAGATGTTGAACGAGGCTTTGGTGATATACACAAAAATTGTGTGCTATTTGGACAAAACATTGTGCCGTAATGCATTTCAAAATATAAATCTTGTCGCAATTTGTTGTAAGCGATGTGTGGCAAACTACTTATTTTGTAACTATATGACTATTATTACGTTTTTGAATTTTTATTCCATTTTAAGTTTATGTAGTTAATTTTTATTAGTATGAAAAAAATACCCCGTTAGCCAATTTTCTGGCTCCATCCGTCACGGTTAACAATAGCAACACCAATTATCTCATCACACTATTAAAGCCTATCCAATCATACCACACCACAGACAACGGGACAAAATAGAGGCAAAATGGATTCAAACTAACAATTGAAAGGATATGGGCTGGTTTGGTCATGCTGTAACTTTTGGAGAAGTAGCCTCTGGCTGGAGCTTTTAGAGAAGTATTTTTCAAAAAAGCAGTTTAGTGTTTGACTGAAAAATTATTAAAAGTGTTTTTGATATAAGACGTTATGTAAAATGACTAAGAATGAAGAAAAATTCTAAACAATAAAAAGTAGTATAATGGATCTTGTTAAATTTATTAAATAATATAATTTTATATATCAATTTATTTTTAAAATGATATAAATGAAAAAATTTATTTTCTAAAATAAAATTAAAATATGATAAGCATACTTAATTTATTTTAAAAAAGGTTTTGAATTTTTACTTTTATGTTAAAAAAAAACATTTTTCAAGTCTTTTAGAATACGAACTTTTAGAGGTCTTATACCATTCTCTTGAAGGTGAAAAAGCCGAGCCTCCCTATATAAAAAAAAAAGCCGACCATCGGTTTTGGTTAGTCTGCCATCTCGCACTTTGGGCCCACTCACTTAGCCAGTTAGCCTGCAATTTTCTGTTTCAGTCCGGCCCATTATAACTTGAAAAACTACACCTCCAACATTCGAATTATTACTAAAAAAAATTCAAGAAATACCTTAATAACTGAACCGCGAAAATTTCTCTGATTCATCTCTCTCCCGCATAGTTTAAATCCTTTCTTCTGCAAATTTAAGGCGAAACCTCGTCGCTGGAAACCGCAACGATCGAAAATCTGGCCGGAGGTATTTGATCAGTCTCTTCACAATTTCTAGTCGGAAATTCTTGACTGTCCAATCGCAAGCTTTTATAACGGTGCCATATATAGTAGCTGTTACTCCTAGGCAATCGGCTTCTGTTCATCCATTGTATTGTACGTGCTAATGTGATTCGTTAACGGATACTTGCCCTGCAAATTGAGCGCCAGACGCTTCATTCTGGCTTTCGTCGTCAGTGGATCGTAATCGATGGCGTAGTGGTAATAGATTAAGAGTAGTAGTGAATGAAATTGTTAGTGCGAAGTTCAGGTTATCCGTAATTGGTGTTTAGGGTTTCTCAAGATGTGCTTGGACAGGGGAGAATCGATCGAGTGATTCATGAAAGCAACTGATTTTTCTTTTCTTTTTTGCGTTGTCTGTGCAAAGGAGGGCGATACACTCTTTTATTATGGCTGGCGATAAATTGAATCCTGCTGCTGATCACGGGAAAGAAGCTCCGGTCGGTGAGGGTGGCTGGAAAGCTAATCTGCAGCCGGAGTATCGGCAAAGGATCGTCGACAAACTGTGAGTCGAACATTTTTCCTTTTTCTGCTGCTGAGTGATTCTTGCCATTCTAATTAAGCTTTGGTTTGTTAGACGATGGAACTCAATACTTCTATCATCGTTGGTCCCTGACAGTATATGGATAACTTATGCCACAGAATGGAGACATTAAAGCAGCATCTACCATGTTCTGGTGCTAAAGGGCCGCAAGCACTGAAGAACATTGCTGAACGATTTGAAGAGACGGTTTATAGTGATGCAACTAGTCAGGTTTCTCTCTTAGGGCCAGTGATGGTTGTAAGACAGCTTCAGGAAATCATGTCCTTATGGAAGAAGGAGCTTTTGTGCCTATAACTGTACCTAGCGGATAGGATCAATGATGCACTAATTTTGTGTTTATCCTTGGTTGTTAATGTAGTCTGATTATTTGCGCAAGATTTCTTTGAAGATTTTCGCAATGGTGGGCAAATCACAGAATTCTATGCCCAATTCTTTGCTGTCTAACTCTGCTGACACTGGGGATAAGCCCACTGATCTTTGTGAAGAAGCTGCTGCGGACTGGAGAGCTGTATTGCCGCCACAGTCTCGGGAAAGGATCACCCTCAAAATGTGAGTTGAATGCTTTTCTGCTGCTTAGTGATTATTGCTATTCTGGTTAAGCTTTTGCTTTTGTGCATTACATGTGTTGTTTTGTTTTATTTTATATTCCTGCAAGACCTTATGATAAACTGAGCCGACCAAAGGATGAAACATGCACGTAGTTGATTGTAGCTCTATGAATGTATTTCGGGCACGAACATTTGGCTATGTCTTTATGAGAGAACCAGATAAATAAATTTGGATTGGTATCACAACTTAGAAGAATCAGGTGTGAAAGGTGAGTTGGTTTGGGTGGTTTCCCAGTCTCTAAATCCGTGAAACAGCGCAAAGCGCAGGCTTGGGAGCTCGGATTTGCCACCGGACAATGAAGTCAGTGAGGAAAATTTGTTACACCTCGTTGGTCACTACTTGGGGAATTTACTATCCGCAATTGGTGGAATTACGTACTACCATACGCTCTTATCCCTTAGCCAAACCAAGTAGACTACCCTTGTCTTTGTCTTGAACCTAAGGTGTTTTCGTATGTATAGCAAGTGGATAGTCTGACTAGATCAGTTGGTTCAAGACTCTCTGGATTGAGTGAGTACTGCTCTTTTCGGATAGTGTCATATGCCTTAATCCCCAAACACGTAGAGCTGATGGAAGGGATGTCTTCGTACACAAGTATGAATGTGAGTAATGAACTAGAACTGGATGAAGACTTTGGTAACAACTTGAGGTTTTACCTCCCGATTAGTGCTTTGTTTGTAACTAAATATCTTTATCCTCGTTGGTCACTAATTATGAATGCGGCTAACTTATGACACAGAATGGAGACGTTAACGAGGAATTTACCTTGTTCTGGTCAATATGCGCTACAAGAACTGAAGAAAATCGCAGGACGATTTGAGGAAAAGATTTATAATGCTGCAACTAGTCCGGTATCTCATCAAAGACTAGTGATTCTTGTAGAATATTTTCATGAAGTCAATTGCTTATGGAAGAAGGAAATTTTGTGCCTACAACTATACCTTTAAGATCAGCTCGATGATGCACTAATTTTATGTTTTTCTTTCTTTCTTTCTTTCTTTCTTGTTTACTTAGTCTGATTATTTGCACAAGATATCTTTGAAGATGCTCACGATGGAAAGCAAATCAAAGAACTCTATACCAAATATTTTTCCTTCTAACTCAGCTGGCACTGGTGGTAAGCCGCCTGATCCAGGAGGTACACGAAGTTCCAGTGCTTTTCTAGTATAGACTGATATTGTTAAGTTGCATGAACTTTTACTTCTAGTGCATAGTTATTTTATCATGTCAGGGAGAATGCTAATATCATCATCAACTTCTTATACTCTATACCGAATTCTTAGTGCGATTACATTTCAGGTTTAGGCTAAGTTCTGCCGTTATTGTTCGTAATTTGTTGTTTCTCTCTTTTTGGTTTCTGATTTATATTCGGTCTTGACCAGCATTGCCTAATATCCAACCCCTTCTGTCACTTCCCATTCGATTGCCGGCTAATCAACCTCAAGTACAACAAAAGTTGTTATCTCAAAACCTGCAAAGCACTATAACTTCCACTGGATCTCAGACTTCTGCTAGTTCACCGTCTTCCTTGCCTCCTATTTCTGGTACGAATCATACTCCAATCGACGTCGTTGGCCAGAGTGCTAACAGCATGCCTGGTGTTGTGCAAAACCCAGCTGGTAGTACTTCGACGGCCCTAGGGGTTCCATCCAACATGTTTGGCAATGCGCAGCTGTTGATGCTGCTCCAACAACAGCTAATACACATCCAAGACCAGTTGCAACAGCTCCAACAACAGCTGCTGATGCATTCACAACTTCAACGACATATGCAGCCTCAAGCAAGCACTATGCAGATGACTCAATTGCAGCCCCCTACATGGAGTAACCTTTATGTTAACCATCAGCTGCCACAAATGATGCGGCTGCCTGGAACTCATTCTGGTAACTCCAGGATGCAGAGTAGCCTTTCTGGTAAAGATCAGCAACAATCAATTCCTCAAAGTAATTTCTCAATTCTGCAGCAGCTAATCCTGCAACAACAGCCTGTTGGAACCATGTCTGCTATCCCAAGCACGCAGAGTAACCTTTCTGGTAAGCATCAGCAACAATTTGTTTTCCCGATGTAATTTCTCATGTCTGCAGGAGGCCACACAGCTACCTTCTACGGTGTGTTTGTTGACATGTTCATGTACATTATCGAAAGCAACTCTCAACAACTAATTGCTCATACGTAGGGCAAAGTTTTTCTGCAGAATGCTTATGATTAAATATGTTTGTCCTTGGATGTGTAATTTCATTCCTCAACACTTTGCGTGACTTGACTAACACAGTATATACCCTGAATGGATGTGCCAGTTGATTATCCCGACTAACGATGGTTTTTGTTGTAGCGTCGCTAGATTCCATGGCACAAACTGGTCCTGCAAACGGAGGTGATTGGCAGGAGGAAGCCTATCAAAAGGTTGTTCATGATGTTACATTTTGCATACTCGGTTTACCTATCTGTTTACTCTTTTGCATTTCAAGTGCCAACAGCTGAATCCCACAAATTTCCCCTACTGATCTTTTCCTTTGCAGATCCAGACCATGAAGGAAATGTACCTACCCGAGTTAAATGAAATGTACAAGAAATTCGATTGGAAGTTACAGCACGTAAGTTACTACTTACTTCCACATCGTTCAACCAATTCCTCGTCGATTAGCCACTGTATCTTGATCATGACTCACTTGCACTGCAGCATAACGATTCACCTGTGCTCAAGGCTCAGGTGGAGAGCTTGATGTCTTTCCTACAAGGATCGAAAAAGGACGTCTTGCTCGGTTACAAGATGTGGATTGATTCCTTCGAGAAGCAGATCATAGCTCTCCTGAACGAGCATAGGCCCAGCAAGCGTATGCGACAACAGCTCCGCTCTTCTGAAATGCAAATGTCACCGCCGCTGCATCAGATCGATGATGTGAACGATGTGAAACCCGACATTTCTTCTCTTTCAAATGCTGCCGATGTCACCTCCGCTGCATCAGATCGATGATGTTCGAGTCAAGAGTTGCAACTCTTGGGGTAGTTAAAGCGGTTAGTACAAGAAAAAAAGTCAACCTTTCACGAAGCAACAACAAAGTTGAATTTTGTTCTTGGGTTAATACCTTATTTTGGCCCGAACTATGACCATGTAATCAACTTTGGCCTGTGGTTTCAGAAATTAACATTTTGGCCTCAACTATGCAACATATATACTCAATTGGCCCGATTTGTGAATTTTCGTCAAATTAAACGGTCAATAGTGTTTACCGTTAGAGCATCCACATTGGTATTGCATTCTCAATTGCAAAATGACATGACATAGGTGTAGAGGTGGCAATTGGATCGGATTCGTGGATTCGTGGATTGGATTGGTGGATCCATGGATCAAATGGATTGGATCCAATGGATTGGTGGATTCATGGATTGGATCAAATGGATTGGTGGATTGATCCATGAATCCAAATGACATCTAAGGCTTGGACCAAAATGTAAAATTTGAAAAGTTGTGGTACTAAAATGTCATAATGAAAAATTTTAGGTACCAAAATGTAATTTTCCAATGATATTTTTCGTATAAAAATATAAATTTTAGGTACCAAAATGTAAAATATAAAAAATATAGGTACCAAATCGTAATTTGCCATTTGGATCCATGGATTGATCCATGAATCCACCAATCCAATTGGATTTGGATCAAATGGATTGGATTTAAATGGATTGGATTAGGTGGATAATTTGGTGGATGGATTGGATTGGATTCATGGATTTGGATCCTAATTGCCACCTCTACATAGGTGTTTGCAATTGCAAAACCAATTGCATTGATGTGGCTACCAATTGCATATTTGCAAGCTTGCAACAAATGCAATGGTATGCAAGTAAAAAAAGCCTAAAAAAATGGGGATTTTGTATTTTATATTATTTTCTTTTCTCTTTTACTTAATTTTCTATAATTTAAACATTATATTTAATTATATTTGCAATTGCAAGTTAATTGCATTGATGTAGGTGAATGAAATGAATGTGATGTGGATTGCAAAAAATTTGAGTTGACAATAAAAAACACAAATGCAATTTCTTTTGCAATTGCATTGATGGAGATGTTCTTAGTGAATCAGCATGTTTTGCTGACGTGGATGCCATGTAGACATTAAAAATTAATAAAATATTAAATAATTAATAAAACTCAAACTGTCAACTACCATTAATAATAATAATAATAAAATAAAACTGCCATTAATAAAAAGAACTCCCCATCTCTCATCCGCCCCACTCATCTCTCAATTCCCTCCTCTGTTCTTCTTTCTTCCTCCAGAAAACTCCTTCTTCCTCTCTTCTTCTTACTTCCTCCACAAAAATCATTCTCCTCCGCCTCTACATATCCTCTTCGCCATTTCCCATTTCATCACCTCCCTCAAAATCATTTTGATACCTTACTTCCCCCAGATTCCTCTGACCGTCTCCCACAAACATCCTCTGCGTAGTTTGACGGCGGAGAGGCTGTGAGAAACACGGCGCGGCGGGAGGCCGACCTAGTTGAGGAAATCTCGAAACTTTGGGTGCTCGAGGCTAGAGAATGAAACGGTCCCACACGATTCGTAGACCCAATCGGTTAAATGTTCAACGGCGGAGTCGATTTGGGTTTTGCTCAGAGCTAGACCAGGAGAAGTCTTGGGGCTCATCAGCTTCTTCACGCTGTCTTCGATTTGGATTTTGCTCAGATCTGGACCAGGAGAAGTCGATTGGGGCAAGTGTCGTGCTTGAGATGCTCGGAGGCGGTGCGGGAAGGATTGGAGGCGGAGAAAAGAGCGTCGCAAAGGGAGTCTGGTTCTCCACCAAGAAGAAATCCCACGACTCCGCAGTACAACATCATAGAGGATGCCGCTCATCGGGGAAGAAAGGAGAAGAAGAATGGTAAGGGTTAGGGATTTTTTTGGTTTTGCTCGAAGAAGGAAAGAGGCGAGGGGATAAGGTGCTGGGTGGCCGAAAATAATTTTGTTTTGTTTGTTTTTTTCATTTTTTTAAGGCAAAATACATCTGTGTAGCCAAAACTTTGACGATTTTGTCAAATATAGCCACTTTTGGCGAAATACCAAAAATAGCCAGAATTTTGAAAGTTTCGTGACAAATATAGCCATTTCCGTTACAAACTTTAACGGTGTTAGAAACTCCGTCAGTTAAGTTAGCGTTAGGCTGACTAGGATGCCAAATCATCAAACACGTCAGCGACAAGTCATCAATATCATTGCCACATCATTTTTATTTATCTTTTATTAATTAAATTATATAAAAAATCATAAAAAGAAAAATAATAACCAATTCTTTGCTTTTCTAGTATCAATCAACGAACAAGAAATCGACTCCCCTTTCTTCTTCCCAGAAATCCTTCTCTCTCGTCACTATCATCTCCTTTCTATCTTCAAAAATGCCCAGGCCATAATCAAATGCAGCCCCAATTCTTCTTCTTTCTCTCTTAAAAATGCCTAGAGTTGTGCATTTAAGAGACGGAACCACCATCAAATCTAAGCTTTAATTTCTCCTTCTGATTTGTTTTTTCTTAGCTAGCCTCTCCTGTCTATCATATCCTCTGTTTCTCCAAATCCTCTTAGCTAGCCTATCCTTTTCCATTGTAATCGCAGGTTCTAACCAGAATCAAATCCAGCCCTGGTTCTCGGTCCACTCCTTGCCTCGCCGCCTACGATAGACCAGCTGCAGATGGAGAAGCTCCGACGATGGTAGCAGCAGTTGCAAATCTGGTATCAATCAAAGACGGTAGACGATTTGGGTTTATCGATCATCGAAAGGATTGGGAACTTAGAAGGGAGGACACAAATAAGGGAAGAAGAAGAAGAAAACGATTGATGGATGAAAGTAGATCTAGGTTCAAAATGGAGGAAGAGGAAGAGAATGCAGCCGAATCGTTCTTTATGGCGGTCGTGATGCTCGCCTCTCTGCCTCATCCTGCTCTATGCTTCTGTCGCCTCCGTCGTTGGCCTCCGTCGTAACTGCCTCTCCACTTCGAATGAAAAGAACAATCCTAGAAATCGCCCTCAATCAAAAATCACGAAGCTTGAGGATTAGGGTTTTTCCGGAAACTTCATCTTGGGAAATCTTGGGTTTCGATCCGAGAAATCGACCTCACCAACTCTGAATCGCGTCCCTGGAACGTGGTAGCAGAGGATCTATGAACCGGCCGGATGCATGGCCGATTCGGTGGAGGGAGGCTGGGGTGTGGGATGGGAGAGAGATTTTCTGGTGAGGGGGAAATGGAATCATCGATCGAAAAGGGAATCATCGGCGGCGGCGACGGTTACCAGCGCCAATCTGGAGAAGGTGAGCACCGTTCATTGTCGACGGAGAGGAGGGTTTGGGTGAAACTCGCGTCGGGGGAAGGGGGAAATGAAAAGGTAGAAGTGACTGAAGGCCAAACGATTTTACCCCTTTTTGTTTCCTTTTTTTTAATGTAATTCCACGTGGAATTTACATACGGTCCAAAATCGCCACGTCGGATGGTTCGTTAGTCCAGTCAGCATGTTAAGTAACACCGTCAAACTATTGGACGGAAGTGGCTATTTTTGGTATTTCGCCAAAAGTGGCTATATTTGACCAAACCGTCAAAGTTTTGGCTACACAAGTGTATTTTGCCTTTTTTTAATTAGGTAAAGGAAATAATAAAAGAAAATTTAAATTCAAATTTTTTATTTTTTTGTGCTTATATGGCGGTGACCTGGACAGTTGACTAACGGTCAACGGTGTTGACAGTCCAAACAAACGGTCAAACCACGCTTCCGGCCAAATGAGACTATATGCTGCAAAGTTCGGGCCATGATGTTAATTTCTCAAACCACGGGCCAAAGTGGATTATATGATCATAGTTTGGGTCAGAATAAAGTATTAACCCAATTTTGTTTACTCATTAAGTCTTGATTTTTTTTCTGTTTTTCCCCCTCCCCTATATTTGATTTAGGAATTGGTTTTGTACATACACGATATTAGCCACTACGTTGGTTGGTTGTTTTGGGGTTTATGGCCCTTTTGTGACGGCTGCCAAACATGAATGTCATAAAATGAACAAGATAATTAAGCACAGAAATTTTTTGCATTATGGTAACGGGTTAATTGCACGGTTGGTCACTGAGATGTTCAAGTTTGGTCACTCGAAATATTTAAATTCATTGGTGGTACTTCAGTTTACTTAAACAGTTCACGTTTGGTCACTCCCGTCCAACTCCGTTAACTTTTGTTTACGTGGCTGTCAACTCTAAAAGTTGAGCATTAAATTTGTGACGTGACAATTTAAAAATAATAAATTTTTTAAAATTAAAAAAAATTCCATCTCATTTCTAACTATTAAAAATAAAACAAAAAACTGATAAAAGACCAAATCGCTCTTCTCGGCTTAATTTCCAGCTCTCCTTTCCTCCATCGGGCAGAGGATTTCTGCTTAATTTTATGTCAAAATGATTTGTCTTTGATTCATTACCATGATCAAATCACCCAGAACCCCTCCAAGAAAACAGAAGTAACCCGTACATCTAAACGAACCTAATATACTTCCTCTGCTAACTTTCAATTCACAATATCAAACTTCATGAAAACAGAGCATCTACTCGTCGGCGGCAGAAGCGGAGCGACCCTTGGCGCCGGCTCTCTTGGGCAAAAGCATGTTGTGGATGTTGGGCATCACGCCATCGTTAGCGATGGTGACGGATCCAAGCAGCTTGCTCAACTCTTCGTCGTTCCTCACTGCCAACTGCACGTGTCTCGGGACGACTCTCGTCTTCTTGTCTCTCGCCGCGTTTCCAGCCAATTCCAGAACCTTGAGAGAGAGAAAAAATCACCGACGCAACGACGGTTAGGTTCTAGATCTGAGATTTCTTAGCGATTCGAATTGAGAAGAGGAGCGAGTGGGGAAATTACCTCGGCAACGAGGTACTCGGGGACGGCGGCAAGGTAGACAGGAGCTTCGTACTTGCCGGTCTTCCAGAAGCGAGCGACGCAGCCGACGGGGAACTGCAGGTCGGCTTTGGTGCTCTTCTTGTCCTTGACGGAGCCAAGCACTTTTCCTCTTCTGACCATCAGAGAAGTAGAGATGGGAATTCGAGAATTTGGAAGTTTGGGTGCGATTCGGTCTCCCAAAACCCTACGATTTCGCCTCGCACACAGAAAATCTCCGCCCGATAGAGAGAGCTGGAAATTAAGCAGAGAAGGAGTGATTTGGTCTTCATCAATTTTTTGTTTTATTTTTAATTGTAAGAAATGAGATGAAAAATTTTAAAAATTAAATTTTATTATTTTATTATTTTTAAATTGCTACATGCATTTAACCGTTAACTTTTTGAGTTGACTGTCATACAAGTAAAAGTTAACGAAGTTGGACGGAGAGTGACCAAACGTGAACGGTGTCAGTAAACTGAAGTACCATCAATGAATTTAAATATTTCGAGTGACCAAACTTGAACATGTTTTTATAATCTCAGCGACCAACCATACAATTAACCCTTATGGTAACTGTTAGCATGATAGATTGATTACTGCATCGGGTTTTTTAATTTATTTTTTATTTAGTTTATCGTTATAGTGGATTGCATTACAAATTGAGCGTTCACCAAGCACCGGGTCAACAACGGGCTCAAGTTAGGGTGCGTAACCATGGTTATGCACCCATCAATAACCAAATCTGGACCCTTCATTTAGAAAATCCAGATCTAAGGATGGAGAATTAAAGGTCATTTTTATTTTCACTAGCTTTCTTAATTGACTCATATCTTTTTCGTTTTAACTCGGATTTTAATTTTTTTTTGCACAGATGGAACGAGTTCATCGTGCTCTACAAAATGAGATCAATTTTCAATATTTTTTGAGGAAAAAAAAATTCTGGCCTCTTGGTACCAACTGCATACCATATGGTATCGTCTTCGTTTTTAATTCGTTTTTGAAAACGTTTGCACAGCAGGGACGAGTTCATCATGATCTATTGGATCTACAAATTTCTGGGTGAACAAATTACAAGACAAAAAATACCACACAATACCATACAATACCACCCTGGTACGAGGTGGTATCTTATGGTATACAATGTTAAAAGTCGTAAATGACAATTAATATACTTCTACTATCATGTATTCAACCATCCTACAGTTTTGGTTTGTGTCATACCACCATGGTACGCTTTTCAAACCATGGTATGCTCTTATTTCAATACCAGTCAATACCATATGGTATAGACTTGTATAAAATGACTCAATTTTTTTTGTTCGAAAAATATATCAAAGTGGATATCATTTTGAAGAGCACAATTAATCTGATCTAACTGTGCAAAAAAATTAAATTTCGACTTAAAACGAGTGAGAAATCGTCCGTCAAAGATTAAGGAGGGGAAAATTAAAGGCTTTCCAGGAGAGAGAGGATGCTGATGTCATGCTGATGTGGGCGGGTTACTCATAGTTACTCACCATAAGGTTACTGACCTGATCCGTTCCCTCAACAACGGATAGCCATCATGAAATAAGTTTTAAATTGCAAATTTGTTTTGGTATTACTTTTAACAAAAATAAATAATTGACAAAACTATCACCACGCATCCTATAATTGGTTTATTCGAATGCTCTAGGATGATAATGAAAAATAATAAGGGAATGGATCAGGTCAGTAACCTTATGGTGAGTAACCCGCCCACATCAGCATGACATCAGCATCCTCTCTCTCCTGGAAAGCCTTTAATTTTCCCCTCCTTAATCTTTGACGGACGATTTCTCACTCGTTTTAAGTCGAAATTTAATTTTTTTTGCACAGTTAGATCAGATTAATTGTGCTCTTCAAAATGATATCCACTTTGATATATTTTTCGAACAAAAAAAATTGAGCCATTTTTTACCAGTCTATACCATATGATATTGACTGGTATTGAAATAAGAGCATACCTATGGGTTGAAAAGCGTACCATGGTGGTATGAACAAACCAAGACTGTAGGATGATTGAATACATGATAGTAGAAGTATATTAATTGTCATTTACGACTTTTAACATTGTATACCATAAAATACCACTCCGTACCAGGGTGGTATTGTATGGTATTTTTTGATCTTGTAATTTGTTCACCCAGAAATTTGTAGATCCAATAGATCATGATGAACTCGTCCCTGCTGTGCAAACGTTTTCAAAAACGAATGAAAAACGAAGAAAATACCATATGGTATGCAGTTGGTACCGAGAGGCCAGAATTTTTTTTTTCCTCAAAAAATATTGAAAATTGATCTCATTTTGTAGAGCACGATGAACTCGTTCCATCTGTGCAAAAAAAATTAAAATCCGAGTTAAAACGAAAAAGATATGAGTCAATTAAGAAAACTAGTGAAAATAAAAATGACATTTAATTCTCCATCCTTAGATCTAGATTTTCTAAATGAAGGGTTCAGATTTGGTTATTGATGGGTGCATTATGCACCCTATCTTGAGCCAAATAATAAGAACCCATAAAGGTTAACAACCATTGAATTTTAGTCAAGTGCAATAAGAACAACGGAATCACATTTGTATTGTACTTCTAATAACATTGGTGTAACATTCAACTTTAAATGACAAGTTGCATTTTGAGGTGAGAGGTGTCAATTGTGCGGGTTGGGTCGGGTTCGGATTGGGTCTAATCGGGTTGGGTTTAATTGAGTTGCGAGTTCAATCAGGTCACTGGTCAATTGGGTTACGGATCGGGTTGGGTTACGGGTGCATCAAATTACAGGTTTATTGGATTGCGGGTTAATTCGGGTCAACCCATTGGATCATTTACTTCTTGACAGAAAATAATGTTTTACAAACTATCAATATATGAATATAAATTGTAGGTAATGATACAAAATTTAAGAAAATGATATATGATAATATTTTACAGATACGAATTAAATATCCATTATGTTAGTATAAAAACTAAATATAAATAAAATAGTGTATATAAAAGCTTTGTTGTTGGTTATAATTTTTTTGCTTATGGTGAGAAATATTAACTTCACTTATTTTATTAATTTATAAAAAAATTGAATCAGTAAAAATTTGAGAATGAAATAAAAAAGGTAGACTATATGCTTATACATTGTCCATGCGTTCGTATGTTTAAGGTGAATTTTTATAATGAAACCATCACTAGAGTTGAACTGAAGGTGATCTTGCATAATCTTGAGCTATGTTAAATGCTAATTTGCAATAATCAATTTATCACAATTCACAACCATATTATGTCCACTACAATCACTTCAATGAGACAATTCATTTGCACAAGGGAGACATATCATCCTATGATAATAATTGGTGAATTATGCAGCATACATCATTGAACAGCAAGATGGAGGAGACGTATTGGCGGAATGCAAATGAATATTGTAGGGTAAAGCTCTCATATCCAACTTGGGTCCATGATTGAAATTTACAGTAGTAGGAATAGAGCTTGCTGAACCAGCTCTGCAAATGAATATTCGGTTCAACCTCTCTCTCTACTAGCATTATGTTCAGCCCGTTGGCCGATTGTGTTACATCAAAATTTAGTAATATTTTTTTTAGATGGAAATCGAAAAATTTCATTAAGCATAGGGCACCTGTAAACCAAGATGCCTCTCAAACAACACCATGTACAATCAGCTAACAACTACTATATCAAAGAAAGAAAAATTATCTGTTATACTGCTATACTAAGTCTAGGAGTCGAGAACTCTCTGCAAATCTGGATCTCCATTCACCTTACATAGAACTTCACCTCTCACTATACTACTGATCTCTATAAGAGATCGAGCTGGCCGAGCACCCTACATTCTCAAACAACGCTCATACCAAACACAGCTTAATGCAACCAAGGTTCTAAAAGGCGCTAGGCGTAAGGCAGGCGCTCGGCTCCTGACTTGCGCCTTGCCTGATTAGGCGTAGCCTAGGAGCGCCTAGGTGTTCAGAGCATAAATGGAAAAAGTTCTCAAATATTTCCTGTTTTCTGGAATTATTCATATAATCCAAGTGCATATAAAATTAGCAATGCCTAGTTCTTAATAGTAAACACTTAACATAACAAATAACAAGCAAATAGTGACCACTTCCTAAAATCACAAGTTTATAAAATGTCGAAATACTAAACAATAGTCAATAAGTTCATAGGAAAATGTTCATTCTTCATCATCCAAGTAGGTTTGTCCAGCCACCACTTCATCTTCATCATCCTCAAAAGCAATCTCCTCTTCCTCCTCTTCAGACTCTAATTCTTCATCATGGAGCTCTCTCACTCATGCACTCCTGCGAAGCTCACTCTGTTCACGCGCCATTGCATCTGTAACAGTACTCGAGGGTGCACAATATGATTCCTCATCCTCATCTATGAATACATACATAGCATGCTCATCCCCTTTCCCGTGTTTCTGATTTTCTAGGGCAAGAGGCAATTTTCTGATTTTCTAGGACAAAACGAAGAGTATTGGGTTTAACCGCCTAAGCTTAACCAGGAACGCCTTCTCTCCACTAGGCGCAAACTAAGCGCTATTCCTACCTACTAAGCGCTAACAACGCCTTTTACAACGCCTATGGCCAAGTCAAGGCAATCCTCCACCGCCTAGCGCCTAATTGAGCCTAGGCGTGCGCCTAGGCGCGCCTTCTTGAACCCTGAATGCAACACACCAGCTTAGTCTGCAAGCTTTGGAATTTTCTAATGAAATAAGGAATAGTATTTTCTTTATAAATAGACAGTTCGCATATTATAATATAATAAATTTTGGTATACATATATGTCTCAACTTAGATATTCAACTTTCCAGTTTTGAGCATTATAAACATTTAATGTGATAGATTAATCAATTTTCTTGGCCAAGGCAATTGACCTATGATAGTAATTTCCAATGTTGATGTTATGTTTGGCCAAAATTTATTGACTGCGATTCTTAATGCAGTTATCCTGGCTGCTCAGGATCCAGTCCCAACGTGTGTCCGTTCCGATTGTCAGAGGTTGACGATTGCGTTGAGACAAGATCCGAGCATGTGGCCATGGCAATGCCGGGCAACTCTTGCCCGGGTTGTTTTCATTCTTTGCCTCTCTCCTTGGATCTCGGTTGAGTTTGTTCCCCGTCGATTCAATGCCATGGCTGATTGGATTGCGAGGAACTCTCGTCTCGATCTCCTTCCTTCGGAATGGATTGTCATTGCCGATCTTGTCGCTCCATTATTGTAATTGTATTGCTTCTCACTTGCGTGGGTTTGGAATGAAATGATGATTGGTATTGTAAAAAAAAAACTCCTCGTAAGTGATTACTTAATTTCCAGTCTCAATTATTTATCTATGTTGCGTTTGAAAAAGAGTGCCAATGATTCTTAATGCACGTTTTAAAGCATTAATCAGATAGAGGTACATGCATATCTCAGTGTATAATATTGTTCGGAAGAGGTACGAAGAAATTATACTACTACAATTCATGGAAACTAATTGCATTATCGATAATAAGGTATTGCATAGAAAGTGAAAGAAAAAGAGTACTAAATAAAGACCAACAATTAATGATTGGCTTAATTGCAAGTTTGGTCACTCGAATTGCTACAAAATTTTACGTTTGCCACTCAAATTAATTTATTCCATTTATAGTCACTTAAATTAATTTAACAGTCCAAGTTTGGTCACTGGCCGTTAGTCTCCGTTAACTTTTGCTGATGTGGCGGTCAACTCTTATAGTTGACCGTTAAATGAGTGACGTGGCGATTAAAAAATTAATAAAATAATTTAATTATTTTTTATTTTCCACCTAAATAAAAATAAAAAAAACCTAATTCCTTTTAATTGTTTTTTTCCACCGCACGTAGCCGTTCCTCTCCCCTCAGGTCGACGACCTCTCCCCAATCTCGCGCGCTGCACTTATGTTCGTCTCTGTCGCAACGCTTAATTGAGCGGAGCTTTGCTCTCTGTTCTACTCTGTTTCCCTCTGTTTTTGCTTCCTACTGTTCAAAATTCACAGCTTCTGAGGTCCGTTGCTGCTATTTAGATCTTTTTCTCCGTCCAGTAAGTATAGTCTCTCCTCCGGCGACTTCTCCTCCGATTCATCGCGAAACCAACAACAGAGGAAGGAGAGGATTTCCGGTGAACCGTCGGGCCCATTAGAACCAGGTCGACGAGCACGTCCTTGTTGAACCGGACCAACCCGACGATGTCTCGCGCCACGCGTTCCTTGACTCTGGTCGTCGGCCACCGATCCGATTCGCACAGTTGCGATTCGAGGATTGAGAAGAGTTTCGCTTTCAGAATTGATTCCTGGAACTCGCTATCGAATCTCGTACCTAACTGCTCCACAAACTCCTCAAGTAACCTAAATTTCTCCTCGTCCTCTGCCTATTCACCTTCCTCCTCACCCTCCGTCAATTGGAGCGTCCTCGCAAGCTTCTGAATCTGCTCCCGATCGAAATACACCTGAATCTCCGCCTCGATCTTGGACCCGAGCTGGTATATTCTACAAGCGGTGATTCGGCGTCGGAGGATGGATTTCAAGCTGTACCCACTCAATTTCTCGAGATCCCGGTGAAGGGTTTTGAGGTCGGTGAGCAATTTAGATAGTTTGAAGAGATTTGGATCAGAAGAGAGAAGGGAGGTGGCCGCCGATTCCGTTTCGAGGTCCAGGATCACTGCAGTGGCGGCTGGTTGGATATCGACGGACACGGAGAGGGAGAAGATTGGATTGTTGACACCTAGATCCCTGGCGGCTCCCCTGAAAGAGTGGAGAAACGAGGAAGTGAGTTGTTGGGTGCTTTTGTGATGTGTTTCATCTTCCATGGATGCTTGATCGCGCCAAGCTCGGGGATTATGGGGAATTGTTGGTCAGGGGTGGAAGTTCAGGAAAAGGAAGGAAGAGAGGTAAGCTTTGCTGGAAAGGAAGGTGTCAAGGAATTGGTCAGAGGAAGGAGAGGATTTTCGGTGGAGGAAGCATGCAACACTTATCTCTGAATTTCGTTTTGTCCTTGAGCAGAGGAAAGGGAAAGGAAGGGAAGGGAAGGGAAGGGGGGGAAAAAATTGATCGGACATTTTTTTTTCAATGGGTGTAAAATGAGTTGGAAATTAGAAAATTTTAAATTTTAAATTTTATTAATTTTTTAATCGCCACGTCACTCATTTAACGGTCAACTATAAGAGTTGACCGCCACATCAGCAAAAGTTAACGGAGACTAACGGCCAGTGACCAAACTTGGACTGTTAAACTAATTTAAGTGACTATAAATGGAATAAATTAATTTGAGTGGCAAACGTAAAATTTTGTAGCAATTCGAGTGACCAAACTTGCAATTAAGCCATTAATGATTCCATGCACGAAGTGAGCTAAACCATGAACATCTAAACATGGATTATTTTATATATTGGATAACTCCTGTGCTTGATGTAAACATGAAGAGATTAAACAAAAATAGTATGAGAAGGAGCTACAGTAAGAAAAGGATTAAACATAACCTAATATATTCGAGTGCTATTTCAAGAAAATATATATATGATCCACCCATACTAATGAACTTCAGACTCCTGCTCGGATGTCCTTATGACTGAAAGCTATGTCCAATACTGACACTGAGTGGTTCCCTACTTCTGGTTCTGTTAAGATCAACCAAAGGAATCAGATGGATCGAAGAGTGGTGCCGGTTCAGAGACGATGACGATAGCAGTTTTGCTGGGAAGAAAAGACAAACATGGAGGAATAAACTGACCTTCAAGCCCACTTCGCTATTGCTGCGGGAAGGAAAACGAAAAACCGCCCGCAAACCATGACCGGAAGACGCAGATATCAGAATGGACAAAAATGTGTCTGCTGGAAGAGAAGGGAAATCACAATCAAATGAGGGGTAGAGTTAATGGCTGGCAATTTGATTCTTCGATGGAATAGAGGAGCGGCAGTTAAGTAGGGTCGCCAAAGGGAGAAAAAAATAACATATCAGCGGAAGTGAATAATCTGTTCAGCCAGCGAGGCCACGCCTGAGGAAAAAATATATGGCCCAATTACAGTTATACCCTTACCACAAATTAAGGGAGAAGAGGAATATTGAATTGGAGCAATTTTTACAAAAGTGTGCAATATATTAATGGGGATGTTGCAGGATTATTTCTTTGACATTTCTCAATTTTAGCACTTTTCGATTTATGGACGTTTTTAATAATTTGTAGATAATTAAGGTTATTTGGGAGATTTGATTAGGGGATTTGGGCAGAATAATTAAAGGGGATAATTAAGGGTAGTTATAGAATAAATTCTCATTATATTAAGAAGGTTGTTTCTCGAGAGGGGAAGCATAATAATAATAATAATAATAATAATAATAATAATAATATTATTATTATTATTATTTTTTGTGAAATTCCCTCTCTCTCTTCCTCCCCAAACCCTACTTTCATTCTTCTTCCTCTTAACTCCCACGTACAGAACCATTCTCAACCCTCAAGCCTTCTTTTTCTTCCACTACACTCCCAACCCATCCCTTCCTTTATCAAGAACCCTTCGGCATACATCTTACGTGATCCACACCTCCAACAAATTGGTATCAGAGTCAGGATTGAGTTACGACTAGACAGATGTCGAAGAAATCAGGAAAAGATGGAGCGGTGAATGACGAGATCGACGTGGAGACTGTCATGGCTCAGCTCCACAAGGTAGCTCTTAAGCAAAGCGAATCTCAGAAAAAGCTCGCGCGATTAGGTGAACAACTAAAGTACCACATGGAGCACGCGAACCGCAATGCCAAGGAGACCGAAGGAACCATGAAAGCCCGCCTCAATGGCCTCGCGGAGGTACTAGCTCAATTCCTGGCGGAAGTGAAGGCCAACAACGGGAGGATGGGTGGGCCCATCACCACCACTGTTGCGCCAGTGGTTCCAACCACAGCTGAGCGACGGGAAACCGACCAAGGCGACGAGGATGGCGGTGAGAAGAGGAGTGGGGGAGTGGCATCATCGGCGGCGAACGAAAGGAGGAAGGACGATGGTCTTCTCCTATTACCCGAAAACGTCCTAATATTACCAAGGAACCGGGGAAAGCTACCGTAGATGGAGCAAGGCCCGGAGGGCGGCCTGAAACAAGACAGACCCTTCGCGTTCACAAGGTCGACGTTGGCATGGAGCAACCGCCACGACGAGAGCGGCTGGGTTCGTGGGCCAAACGACAAGGTTTGGGCCGGAGCTGGGCGAGCGGCGACGGAACACACGAGGCGAGCCGAGGAGGAGGCCGTCTGCCGCGTGATAGCAGAGAGTGGAACGAGAGCTTCCCTCCCTTGGCACACCCAAGGCGCGAGGTACCGTCCGAGGCAGCGGAAGCTTGGCGGGTGGTCAGGGCTTTGGGAGGAACGAGGATGAACCAGTGGAGATCAATGATGGGGAAGAGTGGGAGATGATTGAGGCCGGAAGACCTCACGAGCCCTACGGTCGCATGACGTACGGAGGCGGAGGAGATTATGGCAGGAATGGCAGCGACGGAGGGATCATGTTCCATGCCAAACTACCGGTGATTGAATTCACACGATTTTCAAGAGTGGAGGACACCGACGCATGGCTATCACGAGCAGATCGCTGGTTTTGACACCAAGGAACCAAGGAGGAACAGAAGGCTCATCTGGCTGCCTTCTATCTCGACGGAGGCGCCCAGCAATGGTGGGATTGGATGGAGCCAGCTTACACCACCGTCGGACAGGAGATTACTTGGGATCGATTCAAAGAGGAATTCAGTATACGCTTCAACGTGACGGATGGGTCTGCTTCTGAACAGCTGGTCAAGCTTAAACAGACAGGCAATGTAAGTGAGTTCCAATTTGAATATGAACATTTGGGTAATCTCTGCTATGAAATTCCAGAAGAGACGCTAGTAGGGATTTGTTTGGCGGGATTGAGGGCGGAGATCGCCGCGGCAGTAAAGATGTTTGAACCAGACTCGCTTCGCACCACTTTCCGCATAGCAAAGAGGAAAGAAGAGGAGTTGTTCGGACAGAAGACAAGCGACAGGCCATTCAAGACCGGAAGTGGAGGAGGCGACATCGGGGGAAGTTCAGCCACGATGGGTGGCAGCGGGGAACGACCGGCTCTGCGGGAATCGGATCCAACGGGGCGAACCCGAGCAATGGGACCGGAGCAACCGGAACAGCAGGGGGCGGACCGACAGGACGAACTGGGCCTCGTCTCACACCGTTAGGTTAACTCCAGCCGAGATGGATAAGAAGCGACACGATGGGAAATGTTATAACTGCAACGAAAGATTCACTATAGGTCAGCGTTGCGCCAACGCCAATTTGATGCTCTTGGTGGGAACCTTCGAGGATGAAGCTGAAGAAGTCGAGGCCGAGGCGAGCAAGGCAAGTGGTGGAACACAACCTTAAGGACAAGGTCGCTTTGAAGCGGTGGAGATTGTTGCAGGATTATTTCTTTGGCATTTCTCAATTTTAGCACTTTTTGATTAATGAGCGTTTTTTATAATTTGAAGATAATTAAGGTTATTTGGGAGATTTGATTAGGGGATTTGGGCAGAATAATTAAAGGGGATAATTAAGGGTAGTTATAGAAGGAATTCTCATTATATTAAGAAGGTTGTTTCTGAAGAGGGGAAGCATAATAATAATAATAATAATAATAATAATAATAATTTTGGTGAAATTCCCTCTCTCTATCTTCCTCCCTCTGCCGAGATCTTCCTCCCCAAACCCTACTTTTATTCTTCTTCCTCTTAACTTCCACGTACAGAACCATTCTCGACCCTCAAGCCTTATTTTTCTTCCACTGCACTCCCAACCCATCCCTTCCTTTATCAAGAACCCTTCGGCATACATCTCACGCGATCCACACCTGCAACACTCTACTAGCTAATGTATATGTAATGTGATATTTGTTGTATGTTGTATAAAAAAAATTTCGTATGTATGTACTATGCAGTGAAACACAAATGTAAAGCTACTGGCTACCAAGCAATGGAGATCTTTTTTATGATAAACGTGAAACAAATCGATAAACTGAGTGCCCGAATATATAATTTAGCCAAAAATATCGAGTGAATCGACAAGAATGTCCCATGCTAAAGAAGACCCTGCAGGTGTAACTTCATTTATGTTGGGAGAACAATCGAATTTCAAATTTTAAATCATTATAGAAACTGTACTTTTATTGTACTGTGTTCTCCCATAACATTTTTATTATGGAATTCAAAATGTCATGCTTAGTATTCATATTGCATATGATTCTCCACCAAATCTTCCTTGAACAGTTTTCATCTTTCTAGCTGGTGCTTCACTTGTTCTTCTTAGATGGGCATACATCCGGGCACAATTACATCTTTGATCCACATGTAGATGGGTACCAATAGATAATATATTGCCGCCATGGTGCCCAGAACGAAGCGCATCAGGAACACAAACGGGCTTGCAGGCCTCGACACATCCTCGGCCTTCAGACCAAGCTGTGCAACAAATTAACAATCTCAATAACAATAATAATACAACCGTTTCCATCGAATTCTGATTTACCAACAGCAATTGCTCAAGAAGGGGGCAAAACCAGAAGTTGACGATTTGGTTATTACCTGCAGAGGAGAATCTCCAGGCACAGGTTTGACGCCGGTAACAGCACATCCGATTACGAGTCCGTACCGGCGAGCACCGCGGTACCACTTTGGGCCGATTCTCTTCAACTGAACGTCCTCAAACCCAGCCTTGGTGAACCACTCGATGTACTCTTCCTCCTTCAGGAACAGCATCCAGGCATCGCCGAAGAAGCGAGAAAGCCAAAATGTAGGATAAACCGGGCCGATCAGGCATGCTTTTCCACCCTGCTTCAGCACCCTGTATGCCTCTCTGATCCCGCGCTGTGGCTCGGGCCAGTACTCAATACTGATACAATCATACAAAGATTTCCACAAAATGTAGTTACCATGATAGAGAGACATAATAATGAAGTTGAAATTTTCGTAAGAAATCGAGTGATACATGGTTAACGACTCGAATTATTTGGAACCAGCTGTTTTAATTTATTGCAAGAGTGTTAGAATTTGATTTTGCCAGGTGGTCCTGTGTTTCGTATTTCCACAACCCCTCAATATGATAGTTGATTTAAGCACAAGGTATATATGATTGTTTTTAGTAGACTTCAAACCCGTGCGCATTGGCTTTCATTTGAGCGGGTTATGTAAGAGTAGTGCATGATGCGTAATTAACATTCTCTCAACGTCTTGAGTTATTGGGACCAACTAGGGCCCAAACAAGCCCTTCTGACCCAGTAAGAACCCTGTCTAACCCGCCCTTCTAGGGTCAATTATTTATAAAACTGACCCTCCCCATCCCTATTTTCTTTTTAACCCCTGTCGACTAACCCATTGGAATGTCGAGTCAGTGGGTCGGCTCAAATCAACACACTAATTTTTTGAAAATTATATATTTTTTTATTTTCCTTCTTTATTTTGTACAAATTGGTCCTTAAATTTTGGGGTAAAATTACATTTTAGTATATTTATATTTTTTTATCTTGCATTATAGTACCTAAACTTCTAAAACTTTACAAACTTATCTAATGTGTTGGTATACGGAATTTCACGTTACTGATAGTAATTGCTATGGGTTATAGGGCCAAAAACTTACCCGCAACCTTAATCGTGCGATCCTACTTAATCCTAACATAATTAAAAAACGATTGGACCTTAAACCGACCATGTAGATAAACAATTCACTCAGGTTTAGAACGAATCGGGCCAAGTCAGTGCAGTATCTATTCTAGAGCCAAACTTTGCATCCTTAAAACCAACTGGTTTATGACATAGGATGTCGGCCACAAATCAATTGCTAGTAAGAGAAAGAAATATTAATACCTCCCAGCAGAAGTATATCTATCTGCATAATCAGTCTGAAAGGGCAGGTCCTCAACATCGCCCAGCAAGAACCTGCACTCCTTCAGAGCCTCCTTCTGCATAGCTTTCACCAGCTGGTGCGGCGACTGGTCCAAAACGGTGACGTTTTTGGCATCAACGCGCTTCACAATCCCCATCGTCGTGAAACCGGTACCGCCGCCGACATCCACCACGACCATGCTCCGGTCGCTGAGATCGGCGGCCTCGAGGGCGTCCTCCCTCATGGCCACGGTATATTGGCAAGGGTTGAGCACTTGGTCGTACAGAATCGAGATGAACCTGTAGAACCAAAATGCCTCCTGCTTGTGCTGTATGAACCTGAGCTGGGAAGCTGGTCTGGAGGCAGATGGCGCCATTGTTGTTGTTGCACAGGCTAGACAATTGAGGTTTTCTTTTATAATGCTATCCTTACTCTTCAATCTTCACTCAGAAATAAATAAATAAATATATATATATATATATAGAAATGTATAGAGGTTGAATGAAACAAACTAGTGATGCAGAAGAAGGAGAAGAAGGCCCTATTGTTAATTGTATTGGGTGTCAATTGTAATTAGCCTTTAATTCTTGTGCTAGAAGTATTTGGTTAATTACACTTAGGTCCTGAGATAGGGGTTTTCGGCTATGATAAATGGGTGATGTTAGCCGATCTTGTAACCTAAGGATTCTCGGATAATACAATTGACTCTGAGAGGTTGCTCCTCTCCGTGGATTAGTCTCAACGATACTCGTTGAGGATACCACGTAAATCGGTGTTCGTGTTGGTTATCCTTCTCCTGATCTTGTGTTTAACATGGTATCAGAGCCCATTCTCGGATCCTGGGTTTAATCGTTGCTGTTGTGCGTTCTACTTCTTGCGTTCGCCTTCTGGTTTCGCGCGGCTCTTGCGCCTTTAGGGTTTCTGGTTGCTTTCGGGATTTTCTTCTTGGTGGTTACTTGGACTTGCTCATCATGGATGCTTCGAAAATTGACTCTATCTCAGTTAAGTTTAATGGCCGGAATTTTGCTCTCTGGGAACTGCAATTCCGTTTGTTTGTGCAAGGGCGCCGTCTCTCCTCGATTCTGGACGGTACGCAACCCGAACCGGACGCCACTGCATCGGCCAAGGAACGGGATGACTGAGCGGTCAGCAACGCCCAGGTCATGGTTTGGATTTTGGGATCGGTTGACCCTCCGATCGCTCTTAGCCTTCGTGCCTTCCCTACGGCGCACGCTATGTGGCGCCATCTCTCCGAGGTTCACTCTCAATCCAGCCCGTCGCGGAAGTTTGAAGTTGAGCTGGATTTGGCTCGGTTGCAACAGGGAGACCTCGATGTCAGGTCCTACTACCAGGCTTCCGTCAATCTCTGGACGGAACATGATCTCATTACGTCCTCCGTGCTCTCGCCGGTGGCGTCTGCTGAAGTCCTCCAGGATCGCGCTAACTCGCGCGTTATGCAGTTCTTGATGAAACTTCGGGGAGAATTTGAGGGCATTCGCGCCTCCTTACTGCATCGGAATGTCACCAAGTTGGAAGATGTCTTGGGCGAACTCGTCCGGGAGGAAACTAGACTTCACAGTCAAGCGAAGCTTGACATTCACCAGTCCGATTCGGCTTCCGCGTTTGCTGTCTCGGCTAGGAAATCTGGTTCTTCAGCAGCCTCGACTGACAATGTTGCCTTTGCTGTTGGGTCTGAACGGCCTAGGTTTCGTACGACGACAGGGGAGATAGTTTTCTTCCACTGTAAGGAGCCGGGGCATATCCAAAACCACTGTCTGCGCCGGAACTCTTGTAACTACTGCAAGGCTTCTGGTCACAAAATTGGTGACTGCCCCATCCTCGCCAAACGTGGTCGCAATCGGTCGTCTGGATCCTCTTCTGGTGGAGTGTCTTCGGCTGCCTCTTCTGGTCCAGCCTATGCGACCACTCTTGCTCCTGCCCAGCCCGCGACTTTATCGTCGGTCAGTTCTGTAACTCCTGATTACATCCGTCAATTGGTGCAGGATGCGATCAAGGAGGCTCTTCCTACTGCTCTGGGTTCGGTCTTTACTGCTGGTATGCATTCTTGTTCCTCTCCCTCATGGCATCTTGATTCTGCCGCCTTTAACCACATGACAGGTTCTCGTTCCTCTTTTTGTTCCTTACGGCCTAATCGGCCGATCATGCTTCAAGTGGCGGATGTTACTTGCTTACCCGCCCAGGGGATTGGGGATGTTCAACAGTCTCGTGTTCATCTTTCTGATACGCTCTATGTTCCGAAATTAGTGCCTAGTCTTGTGTCTGTGGGACAGCTTGCGGAGGACGGGTGTCGTGTTACCTTTGATGGTCGTGGTTGTGTTGTGCAGGACACGAACACCGGAAGGGAGATAGGCCGAGGGACTAAAGTCGGGCGTGTGTTCACCTTGGATAGCTACTCTGGATTTCCGAAATTGGATGATGGCGCGGCTAGTAGAGGAAGTTTGGATCCTGTTCAAGGCGCAGCATGCTCCCCAAAAGTTTTTGATTTTTCCCCTGTTGGATATTCTATTAAATTGTCAAACTGGGATTTATGGCACCGTCGGTTAGGCCATCCTCATTCGGCTCGTTTGTTGGATATGTTTAAACAAAATTTATTATCGGGAAGTTCAGCTTCGGATTCTCGTGATTGTGTTCATTGCATTGAGGCCAAACTATCTCAACAATCTTTTGCTTCCAGTACTACGGTTTATACAGATCCGTTTGATCTAGTTCATACTGATTTGTGGGGGCCTTCGCCTGTGACATCACGTGTTGGCTTTCGCTATTTTGCGTTGTTTGTGGATCAGGCTACAAGATTTGCATGGGTTTATTTCCTTCGTCACAATTCTGATCTTATTAAAGTGGCTAAGTAATTCATACAGATGGTTAAAACGCAGTTTGGAAAGATTGTTAAGATAGTTCGCTCTGATCCTGGTGGCGAGTTCATTTCTGGTCCTCTGCAGGAAGTGTTTAAAGATCATGGGACTTTTCCTCAACAGTCCTGCCCAGGAGTTTCTCAACAAAATGGACTTGTTGAACGTAAACATCGTCACGTACTAGAACTGACTCGTGCGTTACTGTTTCAGTCTTGTGTTCCATCGTCATTTTGGGTAGAGGCGATTCACACTATGTTGCACTTAATTAACAGACAGCTTACTCTGATCCTTGGTCAACGGAGTCCTTATGAAGCTCTCTACGGCAAATGCCCAACATACAAGGAGCTTCGGGTGTTTGGCTGTACTTGTTATGTTCTACTTCCGAACCGTGAAAGTAACAAACTCTCTCCTAAGGCCGTGAAGTGTGTGTTTGTCGGGTATAGCGACAAACACAAAGGGTACGTCTGTTATGATGTACCTAATCGTCGAATTCGCATTTCGTGTAATGTTGCGTTTCTTGAGCATATCCCGTACTATGGATCTGTGGCTGATTCCCCCTCTCGACCTGACCTGGAATTTCTTCAAGTTTTACCTTCATTCCCTGATGCCCATCCCCTTGAAGTTGACCCACCTGATCCACCCACTCCGCCACATGAAACCACTTCCCTTCAGCTTGATTCTCCGCTGTCTACTGCTAGCTCTTCAGCTCGCATGGGTTCTGCTTTGGACACTTCGTCCTCTTCCTCGAGTGGGGGAACATCTCCTCCCTTGGATTTACATCTCGTTGAGAACGAGGAACCTCCCCAGCCGCGTCGCTCCTTGTGAGCAAATAAAGGGAAATTGCCGGCCCATATGTCGGATTTTGTAGCCTTTTCGACGTCACCTATTCCAGTTCCAGCAACGTATAAGCAGGCTAGGGGTAATCCTCATTGGGATGCAGCTATGACTACTGAAGTACATGCTCTTGAGGCAAACCACACTTGGGATATTGTTCCACGTCCTGTTAATGCTCCTGTTATCGGGTCCAAGTGGGTTTATAATATTAAGCTGCATCCTGATGGTTCTCTTGAGCGTTTTAAGGCGCGTGTAGTAGCTCAAGGGTTTCGTCAGGAATTTGGTATTGACTATGAAGAAACCTTTGCTCCAGTTGCAAAAATGCAAACTGTCCGGACATTACTTGCTATGGCAGCGATGAAAGGATGGTGTATTAAGCAGTTGGATGTGAAGAACGCTTTTCTTCATGGCGATTTGAAGGAGACGATTTATATGGAGTGTCCTCCTGGTTACTTATCTGGTGACAAATCGAAGGTATGTTTACTTCGTCGATCTCTCTATGGTTTAAAGCAGGCTCCACGGGCATGGTTTGAGAAATTTCATGATACCATTTTGTTGGCTGGTTTTCATCAAAGTGATAATGATCCATCCCTGTTTTTGAGACGTACTGACCGTGGTCTCACTGTTTTGCTTATTTATGTTGATGATATGTTGGTAAGTGGAGATGATACTATTGGGACTCAGGAGCTTACTAATAATCTCCATGAGGCCTTTAATCTGAAGGAGCTGGGGGATGCTTCTTATTTTCTGGGTCTTGAACTACATCGATCGTCCTCAGGTTTGTTGGTCAGTCAGAGGAAATATATTGCAGATCTCTTGGAGACAGCTCATATGGATGAATGTGAGCCTTGCGCAACTCCAATGGAGCAAAACTTGAAGTTGCGTCAGTCTGATGGTGATTTGCTTCCTGATGGTTCCTCTTATCGAAGTCTGGTTGGGAGTTTGATTTATCTCACTCATACTAGACCTGATATCTCATATGCAGTACAGGTTATTAGTCAGTTTATGGCTGCTCCTCGGACTACCCACATGGTGGCAGTTACTCGACTGTTAAGGTATCTAAAGGGGACAGCTGATGTTGGCTTATTCTTTCCTTCGACTGGTGATCCTGTGATTGAAGCATATGCGGATGCAGACTATGCTGGCTGTCTTGATACTCGACGTTCTACCTCTGGCTGGTGTGTGAAGGTTGGATCCTCTTTTGTTTCTTGGCGCTGTAAGAAGCAAGAGAGGGTTTCCAAATTGTCAACTGAAGCTGAGTATCGATCCATGTTAGAGGTGACTTCAGAACTGGTGTGGATTCGTCGCCTGGTCCAGGAGCTTGGAGTGAGTTGTGTACTTCCCATGCGCTTATATGCAGATAATACGAGTGTTATTCGTATTGCTACAAATCCTGTTCTTCATGATCGAACAAAGCATATTAAAGTGCATGTTCACTACATTCGTCAGCTGGTTTCTGAGGGTGTTATCGAGTTGTCTTACATCACTTCTGAAGATCAGACGGCTGATTTACTCACTAAGGCAGTGGCTACGCCTCGATACTGGTTCCTAGCATACAAATTGATGTTGCGTAAGCATCATCAATTTGAGGGAGGGTGTTAATTGTATTGGGTGTCAATTGTAATTAGCCTTTAATCCTTGTGCTAGAAGTATTTGGTTAATTACACTT